TGAGAGAAATATATTTTGTGATATGTGAAAATACATCAGTTTCACACAATCTTAATATTTTCTTGCGCATTGGGGAATAGCGACAGACTTTATGCTAACAACAAGCCTTAATGCTTACGTCTATTAAAAAATATGATTGGCAAGGGTTTTTTTTGTGGGGGGGGAGTTTTCCATAATTCCCAGGGTTCCTTCTGAATTACATTGACTAGGATTTGAATATCTAGAGAATAACAACCCCCCCCCCCCAATCCCTTGTGTGGCAGTCCCCTGAGGCTTTCTTCACAAGTTCTTCAGTTTTTGTTGTCAGAGTAAGCCATGAGAGAGGGGGGGGGGCTTGATTTGATGAGTGATGGTGAGATGGTGGAAAGCTCTAGAAAAGAAGCACAGCATCTGCTATTATAACTCACTGTTTGATGGGCAGCCAAGTCCTAGAAACTAACTCCCATTTTTTTAATAAAAAAAAAATCCTTAAATAGATGATCCAAGTGTGTTTGAACATGCCTAAATTTATGTCACATGTAGGCCCCCTCTTTTTAAACTATCGTATTAGGTATGGTAAAATTTAAAAAAAATACCCAACTGCTTCTGTCTGAATCTTAAATGCAATTCTGGAAATATAAAATGCAGTTTTAATTTGAAATTATGACATAAATCATTATCTATCTATCTATCTATCTATCTATCTATCTATCTATCTATCTATCTACATAGATAAGCAGAATAAACATGCTGAAAATATACAACAAATGACTATTGACATTTCAGTCAAAGTTACAGTGGGGGAAAAAAAGTAGTTACAGATTAGTGATCCATATCCTTTGTAACTAGAATGAAATATTTCTAATATTTCTTATCAGGAAAGGAACTCTTTTAGGCACGACTCATTCAAAATGCTCCAGTGGCATATAACAGATATGAAGACACCCCCCCCTCCCCTCCACTCTTCTTTTTATAGCCTTTTCTTGATATTTTATATTGCACAAACTGTTTCTTTTAAATGTAATATATTCATGCATTCTAAGTTTCAACCTTAAAGCACCGTCTTTTGTATGAAACATTCTAGTCAGTAGAGAAGCTGAAAAGTTTTGTGAAGATGAAGGGGAAATATTTTCATATTGATTCTGTCAGCAATTTGGAGGATTTTAGATTTTACTACCACTTGCTTTGTAGACATTACTACCGCCTGCTCCTCACCTATGTACCTTCTCAGGCAGAAACAGTCACTTCCAACATCCAGGCGGTAGTGCTTCAAACTCTCATCTCCAAATCAGAAATATCTTGACCCCAGGATGGATCCGAGCATAGTTTTTTTCGAAGCACACTGAAGAATTCATATAGTTCATATGCTTTCCAGATTGCAGCTCCCATAATACACAGTTATAATCATGCTGGAAGATGGATTTTATTGAGCAAGACATCTTTTGCTATCTGGCCCATCATTATTCTCCTCTCTATCCTCAGCTGGTAAAAACCTTTAGAATCAGAAGTCTATGAAAATAAAAATGCTTTTTATTGTCCACTGATTTTTTTTAAAATAAAAAATGATTAGTTCTGAACACGGAATCCTTTTTCTGATGTTGCATTTACTATCATTACTATGTTCTTTCTATTTGACTTTAAAAATAATAATAAACTAAACCACACACCTGTCCCATCTATTGCCATGTCCTGTGGCAACAAATTATAAATCAAGTGATTGGGCCTTTACCTGAACTCCTCCAAATAATTTTACCTCACTAAATCTCCCAGCTCTTGGCATATACCATGAGAGTAGAACTATATTCCTAAAGGGGATTAAGAGGCTGTTGTACTGCAATACGTTGCATCACTTAAGAAAGCACCCTTGGTCTCTTTAAGTATCTCTCTTTCATTCTGTATTATCCTCAGCTCAGTATTTTATTCCTTTTAAACAGCTCTTCTTTTCTTTTCTTTTTAACCTTCTCAAGGTCTCCTGGCTGTGGATTAGCATTCTAAGAGCAGTCACACCAGATTCTACTTCTGTGGTGTGAACTAAGTTTCAGGATTTGGCACATCAAGAGTGTTCCAGCTGTGAAACTGGATACTCTTTCAGGCCATAGTCCTACCCCATTCTTCAGGGCTCAGGTGAGCTTTTCAGTGTGTCAGTACTGTTAGCTTGTTAGTGACTGTGTGTTAATTTACTACCGTAGGTCTGCTTAGAGACTCCTAAAGCATACTGCCAGATGCTTGAAGTATTTTCCAATTGAAAATGCAAAGTGGTAAAATTCTCTTCAACACCTGGAAGAAAACTACAGATGACAAACTGGCTCACTAAATACTGCCAACATGTTATCCAGTGTTAAGAACACCACTTAACTTCCTTTCCAGTGAATCACTCTGATCATTTTTGACATGCAATTGGGCCTTGTAGAGGCAAATAAATAGAACTTTTTATCTTCATGTAATTATCATTCAAAACCTAGTCATTTTCTATCTTCTCTAGTGGCAATAAAAAGCCTAGAATTTCAGTCATGAGTATCAGTCACTGCTGAAAATAATCAATTATGTTGGTAGTAAAAACATCCTAGGGACTTGCACTAGCATGATGCTGTAACTTCCTTGCTTGCTGCATAAGGAAACTTATTTAGTACTCTATTTAGTCATTCTGACTAAGTCAGGGGTGTCAAACATACATTGTCACGGCAGCGTCATGTGACATATCAGGACTTTTCCCCCCTTCGCTAAACTGGGCGTGGGTGTGGTCAGCGCCTGATGGATACAGTCCGCAGGCTGGGAGTTTGACTGCCCTGGACTAAGCAGTGATGAGTTGTACTACAGTTAAGCAGAGTAAAGTATAGACTAAGAGTATAGTTAGACTAAGCAGTGGCAAGCTGTAATTCACCAGAAATAAGTGAGAATCCCACAGACTGCAGCCTTTTTGGAACAGAATACTGCAACTGCTCTACTAATTAAAAAATAAATATCCCAACCACATAATTGCTTGCTTCCAAAGTTTTATCTCCCAGTGAATTGAATTGTGAACAGAGATTTTAATTTCAGTCGTATTGTATAACCCCAAGGACAAAAGTATTCACAGTAGTAAGAAATACATTGGATAAGTATTTTATTTTTTAAAAAAATCTGAATGTATTATAGTGATTTCTAAAATCTAATTTTTTTTACTTAAAGAGATCAAAACCCTGCGAATATAATTTTGGTAGATGATGAAATAGAACTTCTGAAGTTGAATTTGTTACTTGTTATATGAAATGCATAAACTGTTGAAGTTCTTTTTTTTAATGGTTCATGGCAATCTTGTCTCAAAGGAGGCAGTGGGAGCATTATATACGCTACCCAGAGTCATACAAAAATCAATATAAAATGGCATTACTGATTTATGAATATCTGAGTGCACCTGTCTGTGCATTTCTTTTGGTAGTAGAGTTAAAGCAATCAGTTCTCCTCAATGATGTTCAAAGGTGGTCATAGAACTCAACGAGGATAAGTGGTGATAGTCCTTATAGATTTATCAGGAGCATGTTCAAATCACATTTGTAATACATATGTTTGAGAAGCCCTTGGTGCTCTCTGAGCTTGCTTGTTTTCTAGTACTGGTGATGTTACCTAGTTAAGGTAATGAAAGGTCTCTAAGAAAACAAGCAAGCTCAGAGAGCACCAAGGACGCCTCATTTCAACCTTGAGCTACAAATATTCTCCTTTCTTATTACATATGTTTGGTTGTGAATTCTTCCTTTATGTCTGTTTGCATTAACTGTTTTCCTTCTACATTTTGAATTGCTAATGAAAGCCTATATTCTGTGGTTCAACAAGTCAGCAGATTGTTTGAAAAGATGTCACAAAGATTCTGCAGATTCCATAAATAATCTTGGTTATAGATGTGTAACTCCATTTATTCTTAGTATTCTTAAACTTTTTGAATCCTAGTATTGTAGAGGCCAGAAATTGGGCTTTGACATCCACCAGCCTTCTCAAAAGTCATCTCATTACAGCAACGTGCTCAGCATATAAAGCATCTGTAAATATAAAGATTAATGGAATTAATGGGAAGTAATGGAACATCAATTGCCCTGTCCTAAACCTAACTAACCCTAAATACATCTTGTGGAAATGGAATTTTGGACATGTAGATGTTTATATAATCTAGAAATTCAGACAGCCAGAATTCCAGATTTCATAGAAGTCTTAACTTGTTTTATCAGCATCTATTCCTACTGTTGGCTTTAGACTATTTAGGATTTGGATTCAGATCCCCACACAGAAGGTAAAGATTACTGTGTAAAATAAGTCCACTTACCTTACAACATGGGTGTCACACTCGCTGCATGATGTTGCCATCACGTGACTTTTGCGATGTTTTTCCCATTTGTGGAGCTGGGGTGGGCGTGGCCTGTGCATGACGCATCTGGCCCATGGGCCGCCAGTTTACAGAGTTATTGTATTGTATTGTATTGATAAAATATGGGCAAACTCATTTTGGGGCAAATAAAATAAGCATCTGCTTTGGACTATCGGTCCAAGAAATAACTAGATTTGTAGGCATTCTTTTTTATCATGAAATATTTTTTGACTCGGTTATAGTCTTGAATAAAACTAAAGTTGACTAAGTTGTTCTTTGTACTCCCATGATGACATGATGAGAACTTTCAGGTGACAGTTTTCAGTCTTAGTTTACTCTAAGAGAAAGGGGGGGGCTTAATCCTTTCCCTACAAGCTGTTTTCCTGATTACAATATCCACCGGTAATTTTTCTTGCCTAAGGGTGGGGCAGATAATAATAAGGGTACTTATTGGAACTGAGGTCTTTCTGTATCCAACCACTTGCCCAGTTCTCACAGTTCAACCCATACAACAATCATGCCTCAGCAAGATGCTGTGAAGATGCCTACAACAGAAAGAATGACAACCCTCTTGTGACTTCACAGAATGCATGCAGGAGAATTCCTGGCAAGCTTCTCTGGTTCAAGGCTGGTCAGAGCAATTGGTTGTCTACTGAAGCTCTTGCAACCCTCTATGTGTCAAATACAATGGCTTTGTTTTTCCATTCCCAGGGATGATTAGCATATGCAGAGTGTCAGCTGTATTTCTGAAGGTGTCAGCTGGAGTTTCCAGGCCGACAAAATTCTAATGGAAGGCTGTGGCTGTGACAGATATGCTGGCAACGACAGAATGATAGGCTGCCGGAAAATGCTTGCAAAAATGTGATTTATTCCTCTCAGTGGATCTGGTATGTATCTTTAGATGTCTGGAATACATGGCACATTATTATTATTCATGTTTTAATAATCTCCTAGGAAACGGGGAATGAAGGAAAGGCATGCATAACCATAATTGTCTAAAGACTAGTATGTTCAAATTACAAAGTATTGTGTTAATAGGGTTCAAGCCGCTTCTAATTATAACAAAGCAGAAATGCAGTGATGGGGTTGTTCCTTGTGACTTTCCAAAGAGGGAATAAAGTTGCACATGACCATGTCCTCATTTTACATGAGAACAGAAGTTCATGAACAAATCTCATCTATAAATCAATGGATCTGAGATCTTGATTCCCCTGCTTTTTTTTCTCATTATCTCTGTGAAAACTATTTGACGTAAAAGAGTACGGATATCATAAAGCTTGTTAAACTCTAACCATGACACTTACTCCCAGATATGTGGTATCTGTTGTTCAAGCTGAATTTCATGATCTTTCAGTAATGAAGATCCCCTCAGATGTCCATAACTTAACAATGTAAGTACTGTAGTCACTCAGTTTCAGCCAATTTCCTGTTTTAAATCACACCGTAAGAAAAAAAAATATTTCAGAAAAGAATTCTCCTTCAGAAATAAGATAAAACAAAGCTTATAAGAACCAAGCTTCCCCCCTCCTTTTCCCTCTGCACAGCTAAACTAATTGAAACCCATTTCAAGGCTCATAAACCAGGAAACAAACCCATTAACTATTCATTGACTGATCAAAAAACTCTATGATTACACCAGTAATTTTTTTTTCTTTCATTTTTGAATTATTGCTCTCTGGGGATTGTTGATTCAGAAACCCTCTTTGTGTGGTGATGATTGGGGGAGGGGGTCAGCCTAGGTAGGCATCTGAGTTCAGCTTCTCTTGAGGCCTTTCCCACCTTTGAATCAACAACAAAAAAAACCCACCCTGTACTGTACGCTATGAGATTGGCTGCACCCAGTGCTAATCCTTGCTCTGTTTCTATTCCTATTCACTGAAGTCACCTGATTTCTCTACAAGATGATGGGCAATAAAGCCCAATATCTGTCAGGCACAAGCAACCAGACCCACACATGTCTGCTTTGTTATGCTTTATACCAGGGGTGAAATCCAGCAGGTTCTGACAGGTTCTGGAGAACTGGTAGCGGAAATTTTGAGCAGTTCAGAGAACCGGTAGCGGAAATTTTGAGTAGTTCAGAGAACCAGCAAATACCACCTCTGGCTGGCCCCAGAGTGGGGAGGGAATGGGGATTTTACAATATCCTTCCCCCAGGAGTGGGGAGGGAATGGGGATTTTGCAATATCCTTCCCCTGCCACATTCACCAAGCCACACCCACTGAACTGGTAGTAAAAAAAATTGGATTTCACCACTGCTTTATACTGCCTTGGTGAGACCACACTTGGAATACTGACTCCAGTTTTGGTCATCACAATACAAAAATGATATTGAGCCTTTAAATAGAGTGCAGAGAAGAGCAGCAAAGATGAGTAGGGGTCTGGAGGCTAAGTCGTACAATGATCACTTAAGTGAACTAGGTATGTCTAGTCTAATGAACAGTAAAAATGAAAAGTGATATGATATCTGTCTTTCAATATGTGAGGGACTGTCACAGAGAAGAGGGGGTCGACTTATTTTTCAAAGCACCTGAGGAAAGGACAAGAAGTAATGGATGGAAACCAGTGCTGAAATCCCCCTGGTTCTATCCAGCTCGCCGAACCAGTAGCGCCGTTGGCAGGAGACTCCGCCCACTCGCCAAGGCGTCATTACGTCCCATTTTTTAACCATCTGCACATGTGCAGAAGGTTCTGCGCATGTGCAGAAGAGGCGCTCCCACACAGGAGCACACCCAAACTGGTAGCAAAGGTAAGTGGATTTCACCACTGATGGAAACTTATTAAGGAGAGATCCAAACTAGAACTAAGGAGAAATTTCTTGATGGTGAGAACGGCTTCCTTCCGGAAGTTGTGGGTGCTTCATCACTGGAGGTTTTTAAGAAGAGTTTGGACAACATTTTGTCTGGAATGGTACAGGGTGTCCTGCTTGATGAGTGGGTTGGACAAGAAGACCTCCAAAGTCCCTTCTGACTCTGTTGTTCTGTACTCTGTGTAGAATTCAAGTTTGCCACTTTATTACATCCTGCCTATTACACAGGAATCTCCCCCCAGACTGCCAGCCTCAGCCTGGGAACAGACAGATAAGGCTCTATCGAACTTGGAGGGGGAGGTCAGTCCTGGATCTCTTGCGGCTTCACAAGGACTCAAGGCTAATTCCATGTTTGAGGCCATTCCCCTGCCTGTTTCCCAACAATATAATTTCAAACACTTGAAGGCTGCCCATGGATAGTGTGGGTTTAAAGAGAGTTATAAAGTTTGGTTAAGGAGGACCCTTTCACTCATGGGATGTGGTTGAGTTGAAAGCAACATCATAGAGATATGGCAGATATAAATGAAGCCAGGATCAGTTTACTCTGTGGCTTATGCAAGGATAAAACAAGTTGTACTTTTTCTATGAGCCACTAATTTCACCTTCCAAAAGTGTTGGATTTTTAACATTCATCATTCCGAGTCAACATGCCCCACCTCCTGTAATGGGTTTTGTGTTGCCTTGGAGCTCCATTGAGGAAAGCTACTATCTTTATATTTTCTTTGGGGGAAAGAAACAGAATTTTACAAAAGAAGATGGAGACTCCTCTCCTACAGATTGGAGCACAGTGTTGGCAATCTAGAGCAAGGCTGTCAAACTGGTGGCTCACGTGATGCATTCGGATGTGTCACATGCATGCCCCGCCCACCCCAGCTCTGTGAAGAGGAAAAACATCACGAAACATCATGTGATGGCAACGTGACACCATGAGCTTGACAGCTGTGGTCTAGAGGGATAAATTTCATAAATTTAATCTTCAGCTTTCTAATTGCATGGAATTGCAGTTCCTTGTTTCACTTGTTCTGCAGAATACAAGGGCACTAGGTCCTTCCATCTTCCAAAGGCAAAGAAGCAGACCTGAAGATTTGCAACTTCTCCCCGATTGATTTCTGTTCATTACCTCAATACCAAGACCATCCCATATACAGATGCTTAAGACGTTTTGAAAATCTGGTTAACCTCAATGAATGGCACTTCTGCTTTGCCCTGATTTCCATAGTTTTCATCAAGGAAGGAAAAGACAATCCTTCTCTTTTGCCAACCTCAACATTTTGTGAGCAAGGAGTGAAAACTGTGATGTAATCATTCCATAACAAACTGTCATGAAATCATCCTGCTTCACTTGTGGTACTTCAACCCAGGACACAGGGATTGAACAAAGGGATGGGTTCTCTAACCTTGTAGTGAAGAGTGAGGAAAGACTTCCAACTAGTATTTCACCTCTGCATGGCCAACTGCTCTTCAAGGAATCAATATGCTACCATTTTTTTTAGTGACTCATTGAGCCTTCTCCAATCCAAGTGTTGGATTGCAAGTCTCATGCTTCCAGGTCAACCAGGGTAAACTTAGGGTTTAGGAACTGGCAAGGTAGCACAGAATGCCCAGTGGATACTGGGCTGATTTATTGCTTGAAGATAAGGGTATAATCCTTCAATACACATGTGTGCATTCACATCATAGCACGGAAAAGATTAATTTCATCAGCAATAGTACAACTTGTCAATTCTTCATCTCTTAACAGTATTGTTACCTTTTAAAAGAATGTCGACTAACAAACCCTTTGGGAAAGCTGCTGGAGGTTTAGATTCTTCCAGTGATGTTGATTTTCCTGTCTTATATTTAAATCAGCTGGAGGGCCCAATGAATAAAAGAAGAAAATTAGAGGTAGAATTAATCGCTTCCCTTGGCTTCAAAGAAGGAATTATTATCAGTGGCAATCAGCAAAGTGCTTTTAAATGCTTTGTTTCAAGGGACAGAAGAATGAAATGTTCCTATGCGCTTAACATAGCTTTAAAAACTGGAGCTTTAATTTCAGCTGTTATTATTCTGAGATCTGTATTAATATCAAGGGATGTTGAGGGACAAGCCAAGTCCTGTCTCAAAAAGCCGTTTATTCAAACAATGGTTGCTTACTATTCTAAAACTTTTGGGAAGCATGCTCCCTGCCCCCCATCCAGACCTTGTTAATGCTACTCAAAACTTAATGATTGAAGGGTTGATGTTTAGATAACTCTTTGGCTTTAAGTAATTGTGATGGATTATTGAATGGCAAGGGCAGAAAAAGTAAAGTTTTTTTTTTTAAAGTTTTCCCCTATTTACAGTAGTACTTGACATGGTGCAAATATTGCTTTTTCCTCCTCTAAAATAGTATTGTTTTAAAATTTAGCATTCTTAAGCTGTAAGCTGCAAGGATCACTTTTAGTAAAAGGAAACAGAGGGAAAGAATGTGAGTTTTCTAGAAATATGTTAGAATGCAAAAAATGTGAATTGTTCTTCAGCTACATCGGGAGGGGAACAGTTCCTCCTCTTGATGCCCTCTTAACGCCCTGAGCTAGACATAGGCCAAATCAGTTTGTCTACCTTCCTTAGTTCTCATATATTCACATTGGGGGTTGAGGGTAGGTGGGGGGGAGGGACTGATTACAGGTCATTTACAGCAGAGGTCTCTAAATTAGGCAACTTTAACACTTGTGGACTTCAATTCTCAGAATTCCTTAGACAGCCATGCTAGCTGAGGAATTCTGGGAGTGGAAGTCCGCAAGTCATAAAGCAGCCACAATTATTATAGTAAACAGGAAACATGTAATGTATAGTTGCCAAAAAGCTATTTGATATAAATGATTCTCAGTCATGTTCTCAATTTAGTTTTATTTATTTAGTTATTGTAAAAAATGCTTATTTGATTGTATGAATTGGTGTGTCAGGGTTCCAAGTAACAGACCCAATGCAATCAAACCTCTGAGGCCTAGGTGTTCCTCAAAGTACAGATTTATTAGGCATGTCATATTGGCACATCTGGTGAAAACCTGTCTCTGAAGGTCCCGCGGTTTTCCCCATTCAAATTAAAAGTCAAAGTTCTTTCCCCCAATCCACATGTCCATTATACAGTCCAATCCAATCGCATCCCCAACTCCAGTTGGTTTCAGTCCACACTTCCCCAACACCTGGTGAGAACGTCCTTGATTCCCAGGAGAAAGAATTTTATTTTGGCTACAAGTCACCAGCTATGTATAATTTCAAAAAAAAAAAAAAATGAAATTATAAATTTCATGTGGCTTAGGGGGCCACATCAATACATTTACCAGTCTGTATCCCCAACCTGCTGCTTCAGGTTTTCTAATGTCCCTGCCACTATAATCAATTCCATCCAGCTTGCTACTAATTATTCTCTTTTCTTCCATCTTCCCCAGCATTAGAGCCTTCTCCAGAGAGCTAAGTCTTCAGATAATGAAGTAGGATAATTTGAGCCTGGTCATTTATGTCACAAGTGAGAAGTTTGGATTGATTTTTTTCTATGATTTCTTCATTTATTTTCTTGGTTACCAATTCTATTCTCAGAAGTCTGTCCAATGCCAAAATTAAAAAAAATATCAACACTCTTTCCATCCTAGTCCTTCAAGTCCAGCTCTCATTTCTGTAGAAGGTCACAGGGAAAAGCACTGATTGCACAGTTTTGATCTGTGTAGATATAGACACATCCAAGCATATGAAAATCTTTTCCAAGGTCCTTGTGGCTTCCATGCCAAATGCTAGTTTGTGGAGTCTTTGGAACTCTCTGAGCTTGGATGTTTTCTTACAGATGTTTCATTACCCAACTAGGTAGTATCATCATGCTAGAAGGGAGTGGGGTTTGCTTTCTGTTTAGGTAAAGATGGAATGCCCTGTCAGTATTTGTGGGAGTGTTCTTGGTGGTTCCTTGATTAAGGCTGTTGTTTGTGCCAGTTTGCAGTGATTTCTTGAGTTCTGATTCCTTTATTGTGGATAGTCAATTCTAAAAGGCAAGATCTAGCCACCATTTCAATATCTTCATTGTCAATTCCAAGGCTGCTTGTTATACCTGTTATTGTTAATTTGGTCTTCTTTATATTTAATCTTAGCTCCATTTATTTACTGTGGGTTTTTTTAAAAATTTTCATTACCAGAGCTTGTGGATCATTTGCATTTTCAGCCATCAAAGAAGTTTCATCAACATAGCGCAGGATATTGCTCTTTTCTCCTCAGTCTTAAAATTGCACTCATCTTCTTCCAATTCAACTTTCTCGATAAGTATTCTGCATAAATAAATAAATAGATGGAGAATATAGTGTATAAATTTGTCTCATGACTTGCAGTCATCGGGCCAGTCTGTTTCCCCATGCTATGTCCAGATTGTGGTTTCTTGTCCTATGTATAGATTTCATAGGACAATAATGAGATATGCTGAAATTCTCATTTTCTTAAGGACAATCCACAGTTTGATATGGTTGACATAATGGAATGCCCTTTTCTAACCAATAATGCACAGGTTGACTTCTTTTTGGTATTCTTTGGGGTTTTTTTTAAAAAAATTCAGCAATAATGTCTGTTGTTCCTTTGTCTTTGCCTTATTTTGAGCATCTGGCAACTCCTTTTCTATGTAAAGATCTTACTGCATTGGATGCTCTTAAGCATTTATTTTGCTAGCAGGTGAAATTAAGGATTATTATAGGATAGTTTAAGCATTCTGTTAAGTGCTTCTTTAGTATTGATATGTAGAGTGATCTCTTCCATTCCATTCTGTGTTGTTTGCTGGCATAGTTTGGTTAGGATCTTTACAGACTGTTTTGTTGTTTGTCATATTTGTAGAAGATTCCATCAATTTCTGTAGCTTCTAACTTGGTAAAAACTAGAGTGCTGATCTAACTTCATTTTCTGCTGCTAACGGTTCTTAGAAGCAAGGGATTTCTAAGGTATTTTGGATGTTGACCTCTTTACTGTACAGAATTTTTTATTTATCCTTTGGTGTCCTTTAGTATACCAGTGCAAAGTTGGAACCTCCTTCTGAGTTGGGAGATCTTTTGGAAGACTTTCTGTGGTTTTCTGTTTAGTTTCCATCGTTGATTATTTACAGATGTTACTGTGATATCATTTCTTGTCTCTTCGGACACGTCTCTGAAATTTTGTCTTACTTTGATTTCTCTTCTCTTCATGACAGTTTACACGGTTTGCTGGTTTGTTGGTTTGTTTATTTGATTTCTATTGCTGCGCATTTTAGCAAACGACTCTGGGCGGCTCACAATTCAAAACATATATTACGATTAAAATGTTTTAAAATGATAAAAACAGTAAAAAGCATTAAAACAGTAAAAACATTAAAACATCTAATTTGAAGTCCATATGAAAGCAAAATATTTGGTCTGTTAGCAATAGACCCAGGAGGTAGACCTCTTGGCACATGTAGCACCCAAGGCACGAGAGCATAGCCAGATTTTTAGAGCTTTACAGAAGGCTAACAAAGTTGGGGCCATTCTAATCTCCAAAGGGAGGGTATTCCACAGAGCAGGGGCTGCTGCAGAAAAAGCTCACCTTCTAGTCCCATCAGCTGACATTCTTTGGCTGACAGGATCTGCAGCAGGGCCATCCTATTTGACCTAGTTGAACAGGTAGAGACTGTTCGTCCTTCTGAAGAGTCCTATGATGCCATTGAATATTATTTTATTTCCATGTAACTTTGAGTTTATTGCAAATGCAGTATCTTCAAAGATCATTTATATGGATGGTCATACATATACACAGACACACACACGCACAAACATATATGCTCCATCTAGTTTCAGTGCTAATTTCAGATGTATCCATTCTTTTAAATAGTTATTCCAGACTCTCTTCTTCTGTCTGATTTCATTATTCAAGAGAATAATCATTCCATCAGAAGAAACACCCATGCCATCATTTATTTACTTGTGTTATCCTTCTTTCCTCTGCAGCAACAGTGGCCAAGAAGCCTGTGACAATTTTAAAAGTGCAAAATCTTTAACATTAGCAACCATGTAAAACCCATGTAAACCAGTGGTGAAATCCATTTTTTTCTACTACCGGTTCTGTGGGCGTGGCTTGGTGGGCGTGGTGTGGTGTGTTGTGGCTTGGTGGGCATGGCAGGGGAAGGATACTGCAAAATCTCCGTTCCCTCCCCACTTCTGGGGGAAGGATACTGCAAAATCCCCATTCCCACCCCACTCTGGGGCCAGCCAGAAGTGGCATTTGCTGGTTCTCTGAACTACTCAAAATTTCCGCTACCGGTTCTCCAGAACCTGTCAGAACCTGCTGGATTTCTACCCTGATGTAAAGCAGTAAAGAGTCAGATATCATAAATAAAAGCAGATGAAATGTGAAAGATCAAACTGCTAAAACTCAGCTTTGCCGGTCCAATACTCCCTGAAATAAAAGTATCTTAAATAGAAAAAGCAGGACTTGTACAATGATGAATGTTATATATATATATATTAAGATTGGCTATAAAAGGATGTTTGCTTCCTTCTTTTATATCCTTGACTGACATATTTCAAGCCTTACTGGAAGACAAAGACCTTCCTGAACAGAAGTTGGAGAGCAGGTGGGAGAAGGATGATCATTCCATTATTCTGGGTTCAAGTCATGAGATTAATCACAAGCATGTGAAATTGTGAACTGGGCCTGCTTAACACCATCACATTCAAAAGGCCTTTTAAAAGAAAAGGGGGGGGAAAAGCAACCAATGTTCCTTATTTTTAATTTCCTGAAAAGTTTTCAGAAAACAAAGCATGATACTTCATAAATGACCAGTTTACTCAATGTAAGTTCCTATCAAATGGTGTTTTTTTTCACAGGTATACGTAAAAAAAAGAAAAAGAAAAAGAATTGATTCTCATCATAGATCTTCCTCCTGGGCCTTAGATGTTTGAACATTTTATGAAAAGATTTCAGTTCTAGAATTTAACTTAATAGTTCTACAGAGGTTTCTTCCTCATGTTCAATTCTGTACAAATAATATGAGTAATGCAAATTTATTGTCTCAGCTGCCCTCCAACATGCTTTGATTTCTCTCAAGGAAAGAGCAACCAAGAATCATGCAGTCCTTTAAAGCATCCAGAAGCTTTGATGTGGATGGCAAATGGTTTTGAAACAGACTTAAAAGTTGAAAAGGTTGCTGTGATGTAGTGTGACTGTATGTGTCTCTAATTTTTTTTTTGAAAAAAGGTCAAAAACCTAATCTATTTCTCTGGTTCTGTCTGAAATAGAGTTGTGGGTTTTAGTGGTACATTAAGTTAGATCCATGCAATGAGTTGAAAAAATGGTGAAGTTGAAATGGTCTGCATTCTCTTGCTTTCTCTTATGTTGAACTCAATGGCTTTCTGGGAAAATAATCTGAAGACAACTTCATCTGGGACAATCAAACTTAAATGGCTCTAAATGTCATCTCTAAAATAGCTAAATTGTGCTTAAAATGTATATATTAATTATATGATTTTTTTAAGACTGCGAAGACTGCCTGTAGTTTTAACGCTCTAACATTCATTAATTACAAAGCCTTGGTTTTCTGTCTGTGCATCAGGTTCTTATTATTGAGAGTGTTTTTTTTTTTTTTTTAAAGCTATTTTATTCTATCTCTTTAGCGGCACATTCACGAAGAGCATAGGAGGAATATCAAGACAAAATGGTATTTTCCAGTAATGAAGGAATAAACCTGGATATCCACAAGCCTGTTTCCTTGGCAACTAAATGGTATAATCAGAATCTCTCAATTGTACCACCTTAAAGAGGCTTTTAAAGGGGTGAGGGTGGGGGTGTCTGTGTATGTTTCTATGAACTGATAAAAGGAAGGAACAAAAAAAATAATAATTGGAGAAAATTTGTCCAGCAGGAGTTTTCCTAGAATACTTCACAAGCCCTTCGGGTTGTAAACAGGAGTAGGATGTGGCACACAATGGCTGCTGCTATCAATTCCTTGCCTGCAATCGGCTTTTGTAAGCACCAAGTCGATGGCAGAGCCAAGGAGAAAGCCACACAGCCGCCCCTGCCTCCTTCAGCAACTCAGAAATGGAACAGATGGTATAAATTGTCCAGGAGATTGCAGAATCTTTTGGATGAGAGAAAAAGAGGATTGTAAATATTATTTCTGTTTTGCATTAGTAGGCCAACCCTTGCTATTCAAAAAAATGCAGAGCTAAGCACATTTAAGAGTTAGGGGACTCTGTGGTCTGTTTCTTTAACCTGGTGCTGTCTAGATACGCTGATTCCGATTCCCAGCACTGGGAGGACATCAGATTGGGAAAAATCTATTCCTTCATTTATGTAAGAATGTGCTACTTCCTAGCGCTCTACTTTTTTCCAATCCTGGATTTACTTTAGCGGCTTCGAGCAAACTATTGCTTGGTCTCTGTCATCTACTTCCAATAGGGGAGGAAAATAATGCTAGCCTTCAGGAATACAGTATCGTCTTCTTGGGAACATTCCTGGAAATATTTGTTCTGAATTTGCTGAGTACTATTATAAGCAGCTTGCCGGCTGAGAAGGTAGTTTAATGAGTAAATGATGTATGTAATTTATTTCCACCTCATTTTAATTCTCAATCACAAGTCTTATTTTTAAAATTAAAACGTTGATTAAAAAGGGAACGTTGGAAATCTGGCTAGCTATCTGAAACAAAAAGTCTTTGCATGTTCTTTTAGCTTGATGGCTTTTTTATACTCTGCCTCCAAAAATGGTTTTTCTTACTCCAGGCCACATTTTAATGAACATCAAAGTAGTTATTTGAAGACTGACCACATCAGTGCAGTCTTTATTTCAACATAGATATAACTGGCAAGGATAATAGATCAAGTGAAAGGCATTCTTATTTTGGTAGCTTGCCAATGTATTAAAAGTATCTTATTCCCTGGGTTAGGATAGAAAAGATGATAGTTTAGCAACTGAAGGCAATGTATTGCATGAGCACCCGGAGTAGAATATATAAGGCATATATTACTCACGTGTGCAAATATGTGAGATGCAGAAGCAGCTGCATTATATTATATCCAACTATTTGTTCTTCCACTTCAGCCCTGTTCAATCTGACTGACAGTGGTTCAGAGTATATTAGGTGTTTCCTATCATTTATACTCCGATACTTCAGTGTGTAAGAGTATAAGAATCCAAAATTCTTGCCCTGGAAAAAAAAATGGTGTGTCAGGAAGATACATTTCTCTGAATGATGAAGAAATATGTATTACAGATACCCTGCTGAGATGGAATTCTGTTTAGTCATGAAACTTTCTGACTAGCAATCTGTAGTTAATACTTCTGGATATAAGCATCCCAACACAGGATTATTTTATAGTGAGCATACCTTCCCAACATAGATCTGGGAAATCCTCAAAACAGAGGGTTCCTCCCTTGCAAGAGAGATTACATACATAAATAAAGGCAATATAAGGCATATACACTAAGAAATGGATATTTAGGTTTGAAATAAAAGAAGTTTATTAAGTGTTGTGGATATCTGGAAGGCTATATTAGTACTGAATTTGAAAGGAGTGGTACCAGCTTAATCAGAATAAACCTAGACTCTGCTCTTCCATATGTTTTGAGTATCTTGGAACATGCCTTCCCTTAATGTTTTCCAGATGGATGCTCAATAATATGCAGACATGAATTCCCTCCCTCCCTCCCTCTCTCCCTCTCTCCCTCCCTCTCTCTCTCTCTCTCTCTCTCTCTCCACCTCCCTCCCTCCTCTTCTCTCCCCCCTCCCTGCTATTCCTGCAACTTCTACCAACTATTTAAGGTAAGATGGCGAATTCCAAAGAGCACAAGGGAAAGATACTTAGTGTGAGCTTTTATGTTACTACTAATTGCTGATGCCAACTATGGTTGGACTAAATGGGGTGAGAAAGTGAGGAAGATTCCCCACTGCCACCAGAAATACTGACTTCTACATCAGCAAGATGAAGGGATTAAAAAAAACTCTAATAGCTGAGTCCCTGTCTTATCATGTTGCATTGTCATGAACCTATCATAACTTGGAGCGTTATCCCTGTTGCCTTGGAAATGGGAATATGTTCAATCTTTCCACGCCACATCAAACCTGTCAACAGTTCTGGAAAATAATAGGTAGCAAACATGTATGTTTGGTGGAAGCCATTTTACAGTTGTCAAGTGCATCTTGTCATTGCCATAATTCTGTAAGAATGAGAATAGAAGTCAGGAAGATGCCTTGTTCTCTGTGTCTGGTTGCCTTATCCTTTAGAGTATAAGATGTTATGCTTGTGTTCAAATAAACTTTTCTTTCCAGACATATATTGATAACTAGATGACATATCGATCTGGCCATCAGTCTTCTTTCAATGAAGCTGGGAAAAGCTGGACTAAATATTTTTCCAATATTTGTGGTTAAAGTACTCTTCCCTGCCATGCAATATATAGATGTAGCTGAAGTTCCAATGAAGTTCTAACTTGTTTCTTCCTTTTCCAACTATATTAAATCTAATATAGAAATAATATTTCTGATAAGAAAAGGGGTCTCTAATGGAAGGGTTATGTGCAGGATGGACTGGGAAAGTTACCCCAAGTAAGCATATGTGTTAATCCTCAATTTTCAGAATTTAGTGCAGGCAGATGTTATGCGTGTGCCCCTATTGCTACTAAGCACAGAAACTTAATGCTACTTTATCTCTAACAGTAACCTGGCAACATGTAAGCCACTTATTAAAATTATCCCTGAAAGCAGGAGCTGAGGATGAAGCCCGCTCAGCAGAGAATCAATGTGGCTGTTGCTTTAGCCAGTTGTAATCTTATATGCCATTTTATAAGTGCTTGGAAGCAAAATGGACTGCGGAAGTTTTTGTCAGCAAGCAAGATTTAACATTCTCTCTCTCTTTCTCCCTATCTCTCCCTTCCTTCCCTCCCCCCCTTTTTTTTATCTAGTTCAATGTTGTGATTTGTGGGTTGGATTTTATGAGGACCAAAAAGGTGGCATTTGTAAACCTGCCAGCTTTTACTTTTTTACTTCATTGGGCTGGGTTGATTTATCACAGGGGCAAACTCTTTGACGAAGAATCAGGTTAACCTCTTGAATTTGTTCATTTAAAAAAAGAAAACGTGCTATTTGAAAAGCTGGGTCCATTATTTCTTACCTCCGTAGACGTTATGTTACATGTACCTTGGACAGATTGATGTATCAAGCAGTCTATGGCATTTGGCATGCTACTGTTCTTAAACTGCCAAACCTAAAAATACAAGCAATACTAAAATCCTATTCTTCTGTTATTTCATGAACAACTATTAAAACTGTCTTTAAAATTCACTTACAATCTGTAAGGATGACATATTGTGAAGGAGATTAGCAGTACATGTTAAAGGAATGAGGGGCCCTCAGCAATGGTGGAGGTGAAAGTAGCTTGGCAGAAGGCCAGGCCTTTAAAGGCAATGAGCTCTTGAGGCCTCATTAATTTTGCAGACTGGCAGACCAGTTGAGTGTGAGGTGCTATCTTGTATTCTTCTGCAGTCCATTGGAAATGCCAATAAAAGATAAAAGACACGACAGTGAATAATCCGACAAAATTAATTTTCAGTACTTGAATAGCAACCACCAGAATTACTATGTATGACACTTCAAATTGAATGAAGGTAGAAAGGCAGTTGATGAACTTAAATCGATGGATGGATGGATGGATGGATGGATGGATGGATGGATGGATGGAGAAACAGTGAAAGCTCTCACTTGCTCTTGGACCTTCTCCAACTGCTATAGTTTACCATAACCGCCAGCACTTTTCCTGACACATTTAATCTATCTATTTAATTTTATCTTGATAATGGATGTTTGTCTCACGTATGGCATGCACAATATACTCCCTACCATTTTCTTTACCTAATTTGTCCCTCGGCATTCTAATTTTCTCAAATTACTTTTCTGGCAAAGATGAGAAATAACTGCACTTTCTATGGGCTGCAAAACTATCCATACAGGTAGTCCTCGACTTACAACAGTTTGTTTAGTGATTGTTTGAAGTCACTGAAAAAAGTGATTTATGGCCATTTTTCACACTTAGGACTGTTGTAATATCTCCTTGGTCATATGATTTACATTCAGATGCTTGGCAACTGATTCCTATTTATGACGGTTGCAGTGTCCCGGGATCATGTGATTATCTTTTGCGACCTTCTAGGAAGCAAAGTCAATGGGAAAGCCAGATTCACTTAACAACGTGTTATTAATTTAACAACTGCAGGGATTATTTTAACAAATGTGGCAAGAAAAGTCATAAAATGGGATAAAACTCACTTAGCAAATTTCTCACTTGGCAACATAAATTCGGGGCTCAGTTGTGGTCATAAATCGAGGACTATCTGTATGTAGGCCCTGACATATGCGCTATTTGTCCTATTGGAGATCCACTTTTGATCTCTTCTCCTTCTCCTCGGGGAAGAGTTAAGCCAATCTACATTTCACTCAGTTGCAGCCCTGGAGGAACTGAACTGAGTCGCTCTGTGAGTGAGATGGGCAGTCTCTAAATAAAGTAAATAAATAAACTGAAGCCAATTTTCCAAGGCAGCACTAGGGACTTTGTGCTGTTTGGGAGCAGGCATGATCCCATTGGTGGGAGTTGTTGCCATCTCTCAACTCCTTTCTGTGGTAGGTGGGGTCAGGATTTCATAAATGTAGCTGAAGGGACCTCTAAACCAAGCAAGGGAGGAACAGCTGGGCAACTTTCTCACATGGT